TTCAATTCAATTCAATTCAATTCAGCTTTATTTGTATAGTGCTTTTACAATGTAGATTGTGTCAAAGCAGCTTCACATAAATGGTCATAGTAACTGGAACAGTGTGGTTCAGGTTTTAGTGTTTAAGTTCAGTTCAGTTCAGTTTAGCTCAGTTCAGTGTGATTTAAACATTACTGAGAGTTCAAACACTGAAGAGCAAATTCATCGATGCGTTGCTCTACCAATCCTGAACCATGCGAGGCAGTGGCGACAGCGGAGAGGGAAAAAAAACTTCACCTGATGGGAGTGAAGAAAAAAAAACCTTGAGAGAACCAGACTCAGTTGGGCACGACCATTTTAATTTCTCCGCTGGCCAAAAGTCTTGTGCAGAGCTTCAGTCGCCGCGGTGGAGGCTGGAAGATGGCCTCAGCGAAGACTCATCTGTCCTTGGAGCGTCGCTGGAATCAGACACATGTTCTCCACTCCCCATGACCATCAGCGCAGCAGCAGCTCAGGATATGGCCTGGTCCCAGATATGGAATCCTTGGGATCATCTCGTCACTGGTCTTGGATCCAATCAGTGACTCCGCATAATCTGAGGACCTCGGGATGAGTATCCCCAGGTGGAAATAGAGAATAAAGAGAATAATTAGCATAGCTGCTGTTCATAGTGTATATAAGCAAGATGCAGAAGCCTTTGTGGAACCCGCTAGGTGATGCATTGAGTGTATGCTTTACTAAACAGATAGGTCTTTAATCTAGTTTTGAACTGGGAGAGTGTGTCTGAGCCTCGGACGTTATCAGGAAGGCTATTCCAGAGTGTAGGAGCCATGAAAGAGAAGGCTCGACCTCCTTTACTTGATTTTGCTATTCTAGGTACTACCAGAAGCCCTGAGTTTTGAGATCTTAAGGAGCGAGTTGGTTTGTAGCGAGACAGAAGGTTGGTTAGATAAACAGGAGCTAGATTATTTAGAGCCCTGCCACCAAATGACTTCATCTTAAAATTTGGAATTGACAATAGTTCAGCCGCAGAGGATCGCAGTGAGCGCCGAGGAGTGTACCAGTGAGGAAGATCAGAGAGGTAATCAGGTGCCAGGTTGTGAAGAGCTTTGTAAGTTAATAAAATATTTTAAAATGTATACGGTAAAAACAGGAAGCCAATGCCAGTGAAAGAGAAGTGGAGTTATGTGTTCAGAAGCACGCGAGCGGGTGGCAACCCTAGCTGCTGAGTTCTGGATTAACTGTAATCTGTGAAGTTGGTTAAGAGGGATAACAGATAGGAGAAAATTGCAATAATCAATCCTTGATGTAACCAGAGCATGTACAAGCACTTCAGCACTTTGTTGGGATAGTGAAGGGCGCAGTCTTGCAATGTTACGTAAGTGAAAAAATGCAGATCGTGAAATATTACTGATATGTGAATTAAACGAAAGCATGCCATCTAGTATAACCCCAAGACTTTTAACATGAGCTGCAAATTTTACTGGAGAATTATTGATAGATATAGTAAAGGATTGAGCTTTAGAAAGAACAGATTTAGAGCCAACCAGAAGGCTCGATGGACATCACGATGGACGATGGCATCTTCATCATTTGAAAAGCGGGGAGCCGGGGGGTGCGCAGGATGTCTGAAGAGCAAGGAGGGGTCTTTGGGTGAGAAGGGTGAGCGACTTATTTGAAGACCGGGAGGGAGACGTGCAATTTCCGGGAGATCATCTCTCATTTGCAGGCATTATGAGTCCCGCAAACGCATAGAGACTCCCGGAACATCATTGATTATCTGTCCGACGTGCACTGCTCTCTGGAGCTCAGAGGAGCGCATGACAGTGTGTGGCTGGCTGGCTGTGTGTGTGGTCAGGCAAGTGGTCATAAAAGTTGGTGTCTGATGATAGGTGAAAATGTTTTTCAAAATGTAAATTTGTCTCGAGCTTTGTGAAAGTGTTTCACACTTTGTAATGTTGATTTGCACTTCCCGGCCACCATACATTCAGCTACACTGAAGAAGAAGAAAAAAAAAAAAAAAACGATTAATTGGATTTACAATTTTTTTTTAAAGTAAGTGGTTGTAACAATATATTACAATATATGGGCTGAATAAATAAAAACAAATTACATTTAGGAATGTTCAGCATTATTTGTTTGTTTAAATTCAGCTTAAATAAATTGTTTGCAACAATTTGCAATGACGGGGCGACGCAGTGGCGCAGTGGTAGCACGTTCGCTGGGTCGCAGGTTCGAACCTCGGCTCAGTTGGCGTTTCTGTGTGGATGTGTGTGGATTCTGTGTGCGTTGCATGTTCTCCCTGCGTTCGCGTGGGCTTCCTCCGGGTGCTCCGGTTTCCCCCACAGTCCAAAGACATTCGGTACAGGTGAATTGGGTAGGCTAAATTGTCCGTAGTGTATGTGAATGTTTCCCAGAGATGGGTTGCGGCTGGAAGGGCATCTGCTGCGTAAAAAAACTTGCTGGATAAGTTAGCGGTTCATTCTGCTGTGGCGACCCCAGATTAATAAAGGGACTAAGCCGACAAGAAAATGATTGAATTTGCATTGAACCATTTTTTTCAGTGTTTATTATTATGCCCAACATATTGTACTCTAGTGATCTGCCTTCCTAGACAGCAGCTTTAAGCAGTCATCTTGGCAAAATTGCGTGTTACATCATAGAGTGCTGAGAGTGCATGTGAGCTCATGCAACTGTATGATGCACAAAAATGATGTCTAGGCAGCGAGCCTGCTGTGTTTTTAGTGTGCACTTTTTATAGTTCTGTGTGCAGTTCATTAGTCACTTTCTTTTTATGCTCTTTTTTTGGTGACTTCTGTAGCTTGTCTCCATTGCCGTAACTTTATTCCCTCTATAACCGCAGACAGACTTGTAAACTGAACTCTAACTTATAAAACTAGCGCTGTATGTAAAATCCCTAATCCCTCATTCCGCAGTCCCTACATTAGTTCGCTAATATAGTCCACTTAAAGTATTGAATGAAAACTAGTGAGTGAATTGAAGCACTGGGTGCACTTGAAAAGGGGTTCACTTTTGTTTGTGATTTTCAGATTGTTACATTTCTGAGACAGATTACATTTTTAACTTATTATTCTTCCAACTTCAAACTGTCAATTATTAATGAAACAAAATGTTTTGACTTTTTTTCAAACGTTAATTTAACAAATTAAATAATTTATTGCTGTGGCATGGTGGCTTAGTGGTTACCACTGTCACCTCACAGCAAAAATGTTGATGGTTCGAGTCCCGGCTAGCCTAGGTGGCATTTCTGTATTGAGTTTGCATGTTCTCCCCGTGTTGGCGTGGGTTTCCTCCGGGTGCTCCAGTTTCTCCCACAGTCAGGGCTGAAGTGAGTTTCAGCCCTCGAGTTCCAAGCATTAGACCAGCCCACTTCAGTTCACGACTGACTATATTAAAATAACGTCATTTCCAATTCAGTACTTCAGTGAAGATTTATTTGAACAGTGAAGATTTTTTTGATTAGTTAACACAATGTAATGTTTAACAGTTTGATAATCTACTTTTCTGTAAGAATTAGCGCTCATATATATCCAAACCTTAAAATGAAAAAAAATCAAATCAAAACAAGTATATATTAAGCTATATTTATTAAACAAATATTAAAATTAAATATATTGATTTTTTTAATGACACTATTACCTTAAATCAGCTGCTTTCTTACTTTAAATATTTGTCATAAGTATGAGAGCATTAAAGGGTAGCAAAATCTCCAACACTGTTCTTTAAAACATCACAATGTCCTTTCCTGCAATATCTGAATATATATTCTGTGCAAAATTATTTCCAGATATCCAGTCCTTAAACACATATAAAGAATAAAACAAGTATTGCGCTGTTGTCTGCCAGACATTTTTAACCACAGTATTATTTTCTAATAATGGCTTCATCTTTATTTTTTTTCCTTTTTAGCTTACTGATCAAGTAAGGTCAGATTTAATAATGTATTGAATTTGAATTCTTATATTCACTCGATGACAATCCTACCTGCCCATTCTAGTGATTTGGGCTCATGACTGATGCTTGGTAACGTTACAGGGCCTGGCTCTTCAATGTTAGCAGCAAACTGGACAAGAGGCTGCTGCTGAAGGGCTTCAGAACAAAAACAAGTTCGGTACATAAACGATGGTTTGCAGACATCGTTGTTTTGCACTGCTCTTAACTAGCTTAACGCTAACTTACTGGCTGTTTCATCGTCTTCATGTGTTGTTGACGTTTTCTCGCTGCCGTTGGTTTTAGCGAAAAATGTACTCAGCTTTTTTAGTTCTGGCCTTTTCAGCGCCACCTTTGCTCTTTTTATTATCATTTTTTCATCTCGCGATAATCACTTAACAAATGATTTTGCTGATAAGCAAGGTGGTGCTGTTGGGGAGTCGAATGATAATTGCGTCATCATAAACCTGCCGGCTGCATTTTGCTCACGGAGCTGCGAGAAAATAAATGAAAAGAGCAGAGCTGCGGTAAAATAATGAATTAAATAAGTGAGGCTATGGTCAAATAAATAAATAAAAAAAATAAAAAAAGTGCGACTGCTGAGAGTGCACGCAGCTAGGGACATTCGCCCTCACAGCCAAAAAATGGACCAACCCACCAGGAATACTCCCGGTCCTCCTGATTAGCCAATCCAGGCCTGCCCATAGTCCATTGACATGCGCTAAATTGGCCGTAGTGTAAGTGTGTGAGAGTGTATAGGTGTTTCCCAGTACTAGAATGTGGCTTGAAGGCTATCCGCTGCGTAAAACAAATGCTGGAATAGTTGGCAGTTCATTCCACTGTCGCGACCCCTGATAAATAAGGGACTAAGCCAAAGGAAAATCAATTAATGAAGGTCTAGAAATGTTATGGAAGTTTTTAAGATCTTTTTTAAAAAACATATAAAATATAGCAGTGATTTAAGTGAATGCAAATGTTTCTGCTTATGATCAGCACTGAAACTAAGTAATTGGCTGTGAAGGTCATGAATTGTTTTTTCCACTTTTAATAACACGTTTCATGTCTCCTAGTGCAATCTGCCATGTACGAGACAGATGTGGTCGTGCCACAGGAGCTGCAGCCGGGTGAGATGCACCTGCTTTCGGGAGGTAACAGGTGGAGCAGAGGCCGCAAACGCCGCTCGGACCCTCAGCAGGAGGACCATCTGTTTCTGCGCCTTCCGGCTTTTGGTAAGGAGCTGTACTTGGAGCTCCAGAGAGATGCCTCTTTCCTCACTGAGGGGTTTGTGACAGAGGAGAGGAGGGAGGAGGGCAGTGTTCAGCATGAATCTCTTCCAAAGGTCCGCCGGTGTTTCTATACTGGAGCCATTCTTAATCACACGGACTCCTTCGTCTCGCTGGACACGTGTGGAGGACTGGTGAGTGGTGGAAACTGCTGTAAAGATCTGAATTTGTCATTTAAACATGTCTGGGATGTATTTATTTATGCATTCATTTATTTTCCTTCGGCTTAGTCCCTTATTTATCAGGGGTCACCACAACCAAATTAACTGCCAGCTATTGTGACATATGTTTTACGCAGCAGATGCACTTCCATTCGCAACCTAGTACTGGGAAACACCCATACACTCTCTCATTCACATATGTAGTTATACACTATGGCCAATTTAGTTAACCCAATTCACCTACAGCGCATGTCATTGGTCTGTAGGGGAAACCGGAGCACCGGAGCATCCGTTGTGTAAAACATATGCTGGAATAGTTGATGGTTCATTCCGCTGTGGCAACCCCTGATAAATAAAGGGACTAAGCTGAAGGAAAATGAATGAATGAATATTATATTATTTTGTTTCTTTTGATCAAATAAATGCAACATTATTAAGCATGTGAGATTTACTTTGAGAAAAAAATCTCGCTGATCCAAACTTTTTCATTTTTAGTAGTACATGTTATTCTAAATACAATGGTTCCCAGATAGATAGATAGATAGATAGATAGATAGATAGATAGATAGATAGATAGATAGATAGATAGATAGATAGATAGATATATAGATAGATAGATAGATAGATAGATAGATAGATAGATAGATAGATAGATAGATAGATAGATAGATAGATAGATAGATAGATAGATAGAAGCAGTTTATAGATAGATAGATAGATAGATAGATAGATAGATAGATAGATAGATAGATAGATAGATAGATAGATAGATAGATAGATAGATAGATAGATAGATAGATAGATAGATAGATAGATAGATAGAAGCAGTTTATAGATAGATAGATAGATAGATAGATAGATAGATAGATAGATAGATAGATAGATAGATAGATAGATAGATAGATAGATAGATAGATAGATAGATAGATAGATAGATAGATAGATAGATAGATAGATAGATAGATAGATAGATAGATAGATAGATAGATAGATAGAAGCAGTTTATAGATAGATAGATAGATAGATAGATAGACAGACAGACAGACAGACAGACAGACAGACAGACAGACAGACAGACAGACAGACAGACAGACAGACAGACAGATAGATAGATAGATAGATAGATAGATAGATAGATAGATAGATAGATAGATAGATAGATAGATAGAGACAAATCAAATGACACCTCATTTTTGCAAATCGGATCTATGGTTCAAGACATACAGCCATATAACTCTAGGCCAATCAGATCGAATATTCTAATGAGGGTGAAACTTGCTTTTACCCTTATACCTATGTGCAACTTAACCCTAAATCCTTAATTCTAAGCCCTAAACCCCAAACCTAACACTAAATAACCCTAAACCTTTAACCCAACCCTAATCCTAACCCTAAACCCTAAACCCTAACACTAAATTACCCTATATCCTTAACCCTAAACCCTAACACTAAATAACCCTATACCCTTAACCCTAAACCCTAACACTAAATAACCCAATAACCCTTAACCCTAAACCCTAACACTAAATAACCCTATACCCTTAACCCTAAACCCTAACACTAAATAACCCAATAACCCTTAACCCTAAACCCTAACACTAAATAACCCTATACCTTTAACCCTAAACCCTAACACTAAATAATAAGTCAACTGCACCTCCCCACCGCATCCCTCCCAGCTCTTCAGGTACGTCGCGCGCAACTCAAACCAACCGCTCTTCAGATACGCCGCCCCCACACTCACGCCCATGCCATGGTCACCGTCAGCTGTTCCTACACGCGTGAAGTGGTCAAGGTTCAGAATACTTCAGTTTTTGCTGCTGTGTGGATTAATACTGAATGTGTAACCCTAAACCCTAACACTAAATAACCCTAAAACCCTAACCACATTTACAGATTTGTGTGTATGCTATGTTTTAGTATGATTTCAACACAAGTCTTCATACATGAGGCCTTAGTTGATAGGGGTGGGGGGTGGGGGTGGCAATCAAACCATGTTTTGAAGCACCCTAAATGTCAAAATTACCCCCCCCCCCGCCTCAATTTCTGTTTAAGGGAAAAAAGATTTCTTCAACACATTTCTAAACATAATAGTTTTGATAACACATTTCTTATAACTCATTTATTTTATCTTTGCCATGATGACATTAAGATTATTTTACTAGATATTTATCAAAATACTAGTATTCAGCTTAAAGTGACATTTAAAGGCCTAACTAGATTAGTTATGGTATTTAGTTAAGTCATTGTATAATGATGGTTTGTTCTGTAGACAATTGAAAACAAATATTCCTTAAGGGGGCTAATAATATTGACCTTAAAATGTGTTAAAAAATGAAACCTAGCCGAAATAAAACAAATAAGACTTTCTCCAGATGAAAAAAATGATAGGAGACACTGTGAAAAAATTCCTTGCTCTGTTAAACATAATTTGGGAAATGTTTGAAAAAGAAAAAAAAATCACGGGAGGAAAAAATTATTTTAACTTCAGCTGTACATGCTTATACAGGCTTTATTGTTTTTGTTTTTGATTTTAGATAGTAGTAATTTTAGTAGTAATGGATCACGTGACGTTGACATGTTTTCATGAGCTTCACCCGACCACACTCTGAATATGTGCTGGTTATTTGACTTCTCGTGGTTGTGAGCATTCCAGGCCCACCCATGGGAGACGAGGCTGTGTTTGTGTGAGAAAGACTTTCCCTGACTTTGGTCCCATTACGATCATTCCATCCTTCAAACTTCCTTTGAAAATCGGTCTTAAATGGCATCAATCAAAGAACTGAAAGGGCGATGGCACTCCATTATCGCAAGCTGTCAATGTCTGATTGGTTAGAGTGCAGACACATGGTCTTCATCCTGTCCTTCCCGACCTTATTGATGAGCTTCCTTGATTGACTTCTTTGGCTAACGGAAAGCTAGCTGACCACCCTGACTCATCCCTCTTCAGGCTGAGTCTGTGGAAAATGAGCTCATCGTTATTGTAAAATGTTCTCTACCCACATATGGCGAGGAGGTCAGACATTTTTGACACCTAAAGTGGGACAGACAGCGAGCAGATGTGAGGCTGTGCGGATCAGCTGGGTGTTTTAACTAGCCCTGGCTGGTATCTGTCTGTGACACAGATGCTTCTCTCTTGCCACTTTGCTCACCAGGGGTGTAGGTAGGTGGGGATGTGTGATTTGGGATGGCTGTAACGATGTCCAATTTTTTAGATATTTTTGTAAAGGGGACCTATTATGCAAAAATCCCCCTCATAAGGGGTTTAAACACAAATGTGCCTCTAATGGTAAAATCATTCATTAATTTATTCATTTTCTTGTCGGATTAGTCCCTTTATTAATCCGAGGTCACCACAGTGGAATGAACCACCAATTTATCCAGCATATTTTATACACAGCAGATGCCCTTCCAGCCGCAACCCATCTCTGAGAAACATCCACACACATTCACACACACACTCATACACTATGGACAATTTATCCAACCCAATTCACCTGTACCACATGTCTTTTGACTGTGGGGGAAACCGGAGCACCCGGAGGAAACCCACGTGAAGGCAGGGAGAACATGCAAACTCCACACAGAAACGCCAACTGAGCCGAGGTTCGAACCAGCGACCTTCTTGCTGTGAGGCAACAGCACTACCCACTGCGCCTCAACCTCAACTGAAACATGCAGACAGGGCAGGTCCTAGTTCCTCCCCCCTTTTTAAACAGCCAATAGTGTTTCATTTTAGTTATGTTTGGGAAAATGTGTAGAATTAAATTAATATATTCTAATTGGTCAGATAACTGGCCCATTCTGTTTTGATTTGTCAGATAGTTCAGTCTTTTGTGATTGGTCAGATGGCTCATTCTGTTGTGATTGGTCAGATGATTTGGTCAGTTGTGATTAGTCAGATGTGATTAGTCAGATTAGCCAGCCTTTTTCAATTAATCAGATTGTCTAGTTTGTTGTTATTGGTCTGGTTAGAAGGTTCTGTCTGATGTGATTGGTCAGATGACCCAGCCTTTTGTGATTGGTCAGATGGCCCAATCTTTTGTGATTGATCAGATGGCCCAGTCTTTTATGATTGGTCTGGTCAGATGGATCATTCTGATGTGATTGGTCAGATGGCCCAGCCTTTTGGGGTTGGTCAGATGGCCCAGTCTTTTGTAACTGGTCACATGGCCCAGTCTTTTGTGATTGGTCTGGTCAGATGATTCAGTGTGATGTGATAGATCAGATGGCCCAGCATTTTGTGATTTGTTATATGATCCAAACTTTTTGGAGTGGCCATTGGCCCTGTCATTTTGGATTGGTCAGATGACCCATTCTTTTGTGATTGGTCAGATAATTTAGTCAGTTGTGATTATTCAGATGGCCCAGTCTGTTGTGATTGGTCAGAGGGTACAGTCTGATATTAGTGGTCAAATGGCTCCGTCTTTTTCAATTAGCCATTGGCCCAGTCATTTGTGATTGGTCAGATGGCCCATTCTGTTGTGATTGGTCAGATGGTACAGTCTGTTATGAGTGGTCATATGGCCCAGTCTTTTTCGATTGATCAGATGGCCCAGTCTTTTATGATTGGTCTGGTCAGATGGATCATTCTGATGTGATTGGTCAGATGGCCCAGCCTTTTGGGGTTGGTCAGATGGCCCAGTCTTTTGTAACTGGTCACATGGCCCAGTCTTTTGTGATTGGTCTGGTCAGATGATTCAGTCTGATGTGATAGATCAGATGGCCCAGCATTTTGTGATTTGTTTTATGATCCAAACTTTTCGCAGTGGCCATTGGCCCTGTCATTTTGGATTGGTCAGATGACCCATTTTTTGTGATTGGTCAGATAATTTATGCAGTTGTGATTAGTCAGATGGCCCAGTCTGTTGTGATTGATCAGATGGTACAGTCTGATATGAGTGGTTATATGAACCAGTCTTTTTTGATTGATCAGATGGCCCAGTCTTTAGTGATTGGTCTGGTCAGATGAT